TTGTCATCATTAACACAGCTCTCTCTCTCCCTGCATTCTACAGGGGCGTTGTCCTCATTAACACAGCTCTCTATCTCTGCGTTCTATAGGGGCGTTGTCCTCATTAACACAGCTCTCTTTCTCTGCGTTCTATAGGGGCGTTGTCCTCATTAACACAGCTCTCTATCTCTGCGTTCTATAGGGGCGTTGTCCAAGTCAGCATCACGTTTGGCCACACGGAGCAGTCGCGGGCCGAGATCATCGATCCGTTCTTGACCGTATTGCTGCCAAAGTACATCACGACGCCTGTGTTTGGTGCATGTAACTCCACCGTCACGCCCACCACCACTATCGAATCCTACGGTCTCAAGATATTGGTGAGCGATGGTTGCAGTGGTTACCGTAGAGGCACATAGTATTAGGATATCAGGGGTTGTGGTTGTAGTGGCTACCCTAGAGGCACATAGTGTTAGGATATCAAAGGTTGTGTTTGTAGTGGTTATATATACTGTAGAGTTACACAGTGGCAGGATATCAGGTGTTGTGGTTGTAGCGGCCACAGGCACTTGGGACAGAGTCAGTAAAAAATAATAGGAACGCACATTCACAAATACTACCCCTCAATTACACTTCCACTGTTGTGTCACTGTATATCAACGTGCTTTCACAAAAACGAATGCAGAACTAGCCGCTCCCGCACTCGCTGCTGCGCTTGCACTCGCACTTGCGCTTGCACTCGCACTGTCCCAAGTGCCTGTGGTAGTGGCTACCTTAGAGCGAACGTGTGAACATGACAAACACTTATACAAATACAAACGCAGAACATTTACACATACTCTGCCTGTGCATGGTCACCAGTGGGCTACCTCCAAATTGCCTCGCTGGGAGCCCGTGTGGTGTCCCGTGCCACGGCCACACTCAGAATGTTGTCGTTGTGTTATCGGGTTTTTCTCCGGTTTCGTTATTTTTTAATACACCATCACTCCGCAGCGCTAGCACCAGGACAGAAGGCTGAGCAAATTCCT